AATTAAATGTAACATTTGGTCACTTGTTTTCTTTATTCAAAATTCGGACAGAACTTATGGGATGACCTGATATATAAAATATTACGTCACTTGCCCCTGGTTGAATGTATGGTCAACCATACACAACATGGAGATTACGGAGAATATTTTCCAACATTTTTAAGATTACTGAGTACTTAAAAAAAGGCGCTCACAGGTCATTTTCTTCGTAGTGAAGGTGTTGACAGATTTTGCCATCACTTGTTAAGTGATCTATGAGTGACAAGCGACTGTGATAGGCGCGTAATTACCGCTACCGTTTGTTTTAAAAATCCATTTCTCTGTTATTTTCAACTTAAAGTAAATAATATTTTTTTTCAAATTAAATTGATTATACTTTAAATCAGTTAATATTCCTCAAATAAAGTTTCAGAAAAGTATATTTTATTTTTGGAAGATTTTTAAATCCGAAAATTAACTTTTGTTTATAAATGTGTCAAAAATGGCCAATTTTGTAAAAGTGACCAAAATTTTGAGACTCCAATCAATATAATTTATATTGGAAATACACCAGAGTATTTTGCTTACTGGAAATACTAAATTTAATCATTTAGCTTTCAATTAAAGCTAAAATAAAAGCTTCAAGAATACTTTTTGATTTTTTAAAATTCATTTTAAAACTTAGGTATCGAAAATTCACTGAAGGTGTCTATATATATATATATATATATATATATATATATATATATATATATATGCTAAATGACTATCGACCATGAATACGGTCCCGATGTACTGAGTGTATTCATCAATGAAGGATGTCTACTTATACACAGTTTACAATAGCACAACCAAAATCCTTGAAAGCAGCGAATAGATTAGCCGAAAGCGCTCAGAGTTAACATTCGTTTGAACAATTTCTAAAGTTATTAAGTGCCACATTTAAATCTCTTCTTCGTATACATAAAAACAATAAAAACTTAATAAAAATACATTGCCAATCATTTTAATAAAACATATATTAGAGAAGAGCTGCTGTACAAATACATACACGCACACAAACACACACACACAGACACATATATATATATATATATATGTGTGTGTGTGTGGAGAGAGAGAAAAAGTGAGACAATGTGCATGTATGTTTATCTGATAACTCTGGATGTGTTAAGGATGTTGAGAAATTAAACAAGCAAGGATATTTTATTATATTATTTTATTACAAATTAGTCAAACATTTGAACTAAAAGGACATGCAAACTTTACATAAATTGGCTCTGAGCATTGCAGTATCTTGTTGTATATAAGCCATTTTAAAAAGTGCAAATGTGTATCAGTTGAAGTACATTGCTAGAACGTAGAACTCTAGTTTTTCCGGAGCCGTGTTGGTAATACTGATTGACATAAAAAAAATCATTTGTTTTTGAAAATCAGTAAAGTTTAACAAAATTGATGACTATTATTATTATTTGCACTATTTAGATGCGGATTATTGTCCCCATTTTTGTTGTTGCTATCACAACGTTTCCAGGTAGCCTACAGGTAATTTCAAACTGAACCTTTTATTTAATCTACGAGGGATAGATGTTCTCGTTTCACTATACGTGTCCAGGTCGTAATTTTTGGTGTTGCTCACCTTGTTTCTACTGAGTCCAAGTATGCACTGCCAGGGATTGAACTCACCATTACTATGTCATTAAATTACCGAAGTAATGCTTTAATCCACTAGGCTATTCCACATGGGATAATTCTTTGTGGAGATCTTAAACCTGACGAACGCTGCTTTTCTCTTTTCTTACTGCTGCTGCTATGGGAGACTTGCTGTCATTTCCCTTTCTGGCTCCCATATCGTATTTATTTTTATGCTAAGCCTACTAAAGAATTCCTCATAGCCTAGAGGATTGCTTCTTTGTGTCACAACACTCTGGGCCAATAAACACTTCGACTACTAGAACAAACAGCGCGTAGTTAAAACCGATGTGATAATAAACACCTATAATAAACTGGATACAAGTAATAATAGAAAAATCTCTATGTGAAAAATTCAAAATTCAAACAATTAGGAGATAGTAAAAACAAAGATAGCATAGAGATTCGGGGAGAAAAAAAATGTTCACAGAATGACGACGGATCTGTGCTACACTTAATCCATGACGCGGAATTGGTTAAGGCGACGTCCATGAAATATGGATTCTCCAAGTACAAGAATTCTTGACGGAAGCGATTTCTGATTTCACTACTGACATTAATGGCTTGAGAGTGTCCCGGCCCAGAATCTTGTGATATTTTTAATATTATTTTGTAATAAGATTTTAATTTACGAATACTTTTGAATTATGTGACGCAAGCATATATTGTTTATTATATATATATATATATATATATATATATATATATATATATATATTATGGAACAAAACTAACAAGGTGCTTATTGATATATTGGTTCCGAGCGCTTTCGGCTAAACTGTTAGCTATTTTCAAGGATTTTTTTTCTTTTTACAGTTTAGCCGAAATCACTCGGAATCAACAAACTTTTGACCAGTTTTTACATTCATTAAGTCCAGAAAGAAAATACTTGTACGTATACAACAAATTGTATTAAAGAGGGATTAGTGCCCAAACACACACAAACACAAAACACACACACACACACACACACACACACACACACATCTGTTCAGTTTCGTTTCCTAACATTCACATCTGTTTAGTTTCCTATCCTAACGTAGCAAAGCAATTTCTAAAGAAGTGATGGAATTTTATTTATTAATCCAACAGGACAGTATATTTATTTACTTTCGTCTACCGACCTGAATATCCGAGAAATCTTATGAAAGAATATATGCCTCACTGCTTTAAAAATTGCTTTTTTATGTCGAGATACGAATCTGAACAGATATGGCTGTTTCGACAGTCTGCGAAAGATTTTCGTTTATAAGGCACTATTAAACTTTGCCTGATCGACGACGCACTCCGTGTTCGAGTCGATCTAAAGTATGTCGGATCTAACGACGGTTTCTCCTGCCAAGGGGGACGCAGGTTCGAATCCTACAGGAGAGCGCATATTTGTTTTTTATAAGAATTCCTCGAATATTTAGGCCGGTAGACGTATGTAAATAAATATACTGTTTAATAAATAAACGGGGCGTCTTCTCAAATATGGGTATCCGCTAAAAAATAATGGCTAATAAAATCTGACGAATTAATAAATAAAACCTATCATTCTTTAGAAATCGTTTTGTATCTTAGAAGGTATGAATGCTTCGAGAGTCTGGTAAAGATTTGCGTTTATAAGGCATTATTCACACACACGCACACACACACACACACACACATATATATATATATATATATACGCTCGCAGGATACCTCAGTGTCATATGTCAAAGGTAGATGTTAGTAGTAAGGTAGTATAGGTTAGACTTACCACATAATAACTCTGTTTTGCATTGTTACATAAAACAGTCTGGTAAAATCGCTTCTGAAGTTACGATTCAGCGAGATCTAATGTGGAAAAAATTACATCCGCTAAGATCCATCAATATTTGCTGTCATTTCACTGAGCCCAAAAAGTTGATGTGAGCACAAATATGTGGTGCGCAATGCGTTTCTGCAACGGTGATAGCAATTGGTGTCAAAAGCCATGTTCCAGGAATAGTTGTCAACATATTAAATGAAGACCATCTCGAAAATGAATATCCAAAAGTGGTTTTATTATGCTCCCACTGTTTTAGTTTCCATGGAAATAAATAACGGGTATCCATTGTATATGTGAATATGTTTTGCGTAAAATATCTGGGGGGACAATAAGTAACCAAGAAACTTGTATTTAAAAACACCAATTCAACAATACTTTTATTAGATGCTAAGACTTCTAAATTCTTTTCAATTTCAGGTGAAAAAATTAGCTCGACGACAAAACCAAGAAAATAACCTTGATTCGAAAAAAACTCAACAAAGATCACAAAAACGAAAAAAAGACGAAGACCATGATTCTGGTAAGTGGAATTAAGATTTTGGAAAAGTGAACAGAGATTAAGGTAAAACGAATTATGATTCTGATAAACCGAGCAAAGATTCTGGAAAGTCGAAAAAAAAGATTCCATCTTGTCAAAAGGAAATTCTGGTAAGTCAAAGTAAGATTTTGGTAAGTCGAGCTAAGTTTTTAGTGAGTCGTATTGAAATTTTGATAAATCAAATTCAGAGCTTCATTTCTTAGAGCTATGGAACTTTCTGAGATACTGGGAAAGTTGGAGAGCGTTTTCTTTTATACTTTAATATTGGTTTTAACTCCCATACTACGAAGACTTGGAATAATTATTTTTTCCCAATTTAAACTGAATTGGTCAAATTTAGAAAGCAGTAGCGCACACACACACACTCTCTCTCTCTCTCTCTCTCTCTCTCTCTCTCTCTCTCTCTCTCTCTCTCTCTCTCTCTCTCTTACATAGAAATGGCCGAGTTATGTATTTTAAATTAAATATTAGAAAGGGTTACACACGTACTATATATATATATATATATATATATATATATATATATATATATATATATATATAAACACATACACACACATATATAAATGCACACACATACACAGACACACACATATATATGATGTAAATATTACGGTTTCGTTTTTTAGATCTTATTAAAAAAAGTGCCAAGCATACTAAAAGACTAAAAGTTTCACAATGACAAACCGATCGGAAGGTACTTAAAAATGGTCACTTTTATTGTCTGCATCTGTTTTTATACACGTGGGCAGTGAATAAAACCTCTCAGAAAAAGTGTGGCACGTGGCAACCGCCACCCACGCAAAGCAAACACGCGCATTCATTGAATAAAATAAACTTCACACATATCCCGAATCTCGTAACCCTCAGGGGCACCGCATCTACTGCAACCACAGCAGCAGTGGTGTTTCCTTGGCAAGACAGCCTAACGAAACCCAACCCTCTCCAGACTGGGTTGAAATGAGAGGGAAGCGGCCGCACACAACATTTATGAGGTGGTCAATAATGAATAAATCGCGGGAGGCTACACAACCCTGGAGGAAGCCGGCAGCGATCGGGTGCGCAGGATGTCCCACAGAGTCGTTCTGTGAACTGTGTCGATAAAGGCGACGCAATACTCACTGTACTCCCGGAACTTCTCGATGAGGAGCCCGAGATGTGACTAGGGGTGTAGCAGGCGGGCATGAAATTAGCCTGTTGAGGGGGGCGTCTAGATCTGATGGTGGTAAGGATGTGGTCAAGGAAGATCCTGGTGAAGAGCTTATTTGTCCTTCTATGACCATATATATATTCATCCCTTGTTTCCTGTTTAGGGTTTAAACGTCCACTTCAATTCTATACTCCGAATGTCTCCGCCTGACCTCTGGAATTTTATCTGCTAATTAAATCTTGACATCTTCAAGCCTAGAATTAGCTATCTTTCTGCTTTTCTTAGACTATCTTGAGAGGGTCTTGGGCCGTGTATTGGGTGAACATTAGTAATAGATAGATAGATAGATAGATAGATAGATAGATAGATAGATGGATGGATAGATAGATAGATAGATAGATAGATAGATAGATAGATAGATAGATAGATAGATATAGACGGATAAAAGTGAGGGAGAAAACAGCTGCTCCTAAAAGTTATAGGCAACAAAAAAGTGCTCAATACAAAATTCAAAATCGAATATGTAGAGCTGATATATTTAAGAAAAGGCTAAAATGCCAACCAACCTCGCAACCCGGGTTTCGACTGTAAGGTCTCAGGCAAGTGGAAGGATATATATATATATATATATATATATATATAGAGAGAGAGAGAGAGAGAGAGAGAGAGAGAAGGGGGAGTAATCGCTGTATCACAACTCATCAGTTTGATAGACATGCGATTGCTTCAAGCCGGGATCGAAATTCGACTGATCTCACCAGTTGGAGACTCTCACCCTGACTCTCATCAGCGCAATGTACGGAGAAAGGGAAGTTTTAACGCATTATATACGAGATATACGTATTACTGACTACCAGAGTGCTCAATTCAAAGCGATGCGCTTTTAGCATTGATCAGCAGCAACCGACAAATTTGTCGAATACGCAAGTCGACATATGTAAATCACATTGTTTAAATAAAAATAAAAACGAGATGTAAACAAATAGGAAGAAAAATCAACAACAATAACAGCATTTACTCACTTTCTTTTATTAGACATTAAATTACATCACTTAGCATATTTCCATAGTTTACCTTGATTTTCACAATTAACCTGAAAAATATTTATAAGCGTCCCTAAATTTAAAATTTTTAAAACATAAGGATGTTTTTACTTCTGTTTTTAAAAACATGTAGCAAAATAAAATGCTTACATTTGCCGTAATAAAGTCCATCAGAGGACGAAACGGGTTGGTATAGAATAGTTTTTCCTTTATTCATATTGTCTTTTTACAGATATATTTTTATACCTAAATTTTTTACACACAGACGTATGCACACACAGATACACATACACACACACATATATATATATATATATATATATATATATATATATATATATATATATATATATATATATATATATATATTATACACTCTTACATTAGAACATGTAAGTTACTACTACAAAATTGTATATGTATATATATATATATATCAGAAATGACAACATCTTATACTCAAATTTGTAACCATGCTATTACGAGCTCCATTGGAAATCTACATTGTATCAGAAGTTCTCATTGTGGTTCCGTTGCATTGCTAACGAGTTGAGCTTCAAACTTTAATTCACGATAACAATGAGATATCAAGATATTTTCGTTTCATATTTTCAGCCTGGGCAAGTAAGGATTTTTTAGAAAACTGTCCCATTCAAATATAACAAAAGTTACGTTTATTTGTTATGAAAATAACCACCCTAATTAGCAATGACAAAAGCCCGCTAGAAAACCAATTCTTTTATTCCCTGCTGAAAAATGATGGACGAAAAGAATTTTAATAACGTTCGTTTGATCTTTTCCGCACTTTTAAAGGTTATGCAAAAAAAAAAGTTTTTTTTTTAATCATATGATTAAATTAAAACTTAAAAGTGTTAAGTCTCGTGAATAAGAATAATGGGACAAAGTCTGCCAACATAAAGATTTGATCTTTTCATGAGTTTATTTTACGGACTGAGGGCACAACTTTTTGATGATAAAATCAGGACATTTCACCTCAATTATAACTATTCGTTTATTTTTTTTCTACAATAAAGACATTTATTATTCTACAATAAAGACATTTATTATTCTACAATAAAGACATTTATTCGTAACACTCCGCTACGATTCAGTTGCCTTATTCGAAAAATTTGTAAGAAACGATTTCTACTAAATTTTAATATAGTAGAAATCTATTATATTAGTCTATTTATTTGTACTATATTTTAATACTATCAGCTCACCAAGATCATACGTGTGTGGATCTGTGGTTTAGATATTGGCATAGGTTTTATGTATCAGTTATAACAAAGGAGGCACGGTGGAGGAATGGGTAGCGGCTCGGATTGAGGAATCGGAGAGACATTACATTACATACAGTCGAATCCATTACATTGACTTTTTCTCCCCCCAGCTATGGGTCTATTTACAGGACAGAATGGGTTCTATAGCCTTGGATGACTGGTCTAAGAAAGAAATGGCAACCTACTGTGGGAAAAAAATCTGCCTCGTCAGTCATGTCTCGAAAGATAAATGATCGCCTAAGTGTATATCACGCATGACACATAACTGACTATAACAAATTTAGATGTTCGGATGATGTGATAGATCGCGGCTCAGAGCGAGAAATCGAAGCGTAGAATTCGCATTCCAGTCGAGTTTCGTCAAATTTACTTTCGAACAAATACCTTTGGAATGTATCCATGAATCCCTCAGCTATGGGTTAAATAATAGTGCAAACAGGAGAAGGACAACTCTGAATTAAAACTGTATGCAGCCTGGCGAAGGACATACTATGCAGCTAATGAAGAGATCGTGGAGTTTAGAATGCCTGCGATGACAACTTCAATATTACCATTACCATTTTGTATAAAATCTTTCAACAAAGAATAAAAAAAAATAGTCTCATAATAAACACAAAAGATCATGCTTCTCAGATCACTACAATCTTAACCTGTTCAAGTTTGGGGTTAGCGGCTATCTTCCACACATGTCCGCCTAAGCTGTGCTTCTTACACTGTTAGCCTCTACCTCAAAGGTGGACATCATTATTTTTGTGATGTACGGTGGCCGTTAATGATTAAGTATAACTCAAGACTTCAATGTTAAAATAAAACAGTATTTAATTACAACCGCAAATAAATACATAACAAGATCAAAGGAGTAAAAGTCAACCAAAGATAATTAACCATTCCAATGAATACCTTTTTACTTACGCGGCTCGGCTTAACATCTGGTAAATCCTAAATCAAAACCCAAATCATCGGCGCACAATAATTCACACTAATTCGACGGGATAGTTTCACTCAATAGTCACTCCAGTCAGTAGCCTGACACCGCTATTCATACACCTGGCGATAAACATAAAGTTTTGTTAGATTTTATTGATTGGTTGTTTTGTTTTATAAGGTTTATTAATCTTTTGCGAGTTGTTTAAAGCCAAAACATATTTCAGGTTGAAAAAATAATTTATTTTCTTCTTTTTTTTTTCGCGAGTGAATATCGCATTAACATTTTTTTGCAAATAAAAATGAATTTCCAGAGCCAATTATTTTATTGATTCGTTTTCTACGGCTTATCAACTTTTTTCAGGTTATTTAAAGCCAGAAAATATTTTTAGATAGTAAGAAGTTTTTTTTTTTTTAGACAATAATGGTTTAGTGATACAAGTCTTACTAATTGACCCATAGTTTGGGGGGGGGAAAGTTGGACTCAAACCTTTCTCAAGGGTAATTACGCATAAATGAATATAACGAACCCAAAGGAAATTAGAACACGACTCTCCAATTAACAATTCCGGGCCATTGTCCATTAACCTCCCCCCCCCAGCATTTAAGCTTCAATACTTGAAGCGGTCACCCATCTAGATACTAACAAGACTCGACTTTGCTTACCTTCGATGATTGTACTGGAACCGGTGTTTCAACGTGATATGGCTGGAAGCCTTTCCAGAAACAAGTCCTACTATTTAACCCATAGCTGGGTAGGATAAGGTGTTAGTTTTAAATTGATGCATTTTATTCTTTGTGTAACATTTTCTGAATATTTTAATATATTTCAAATACTTTATAAGATTTAGCATTAAGCTTTTTTCTTAAGAACATGGAATTTTTTATAAAGTAATTAGACGTTGCCTTCGCTATCAGGTGGCTTAATGGTTAACGGCTCGAAACAAGAAATCGGCGGTCCGCGTTCGAACTCCAGACGAGTTCGATATATTAATTTTTGCGCAAATACCCCTGGGAAATGTATGAATCCATCCCTTCTACCCCAAGCTATGGGTTAAATATTTACGACAGACTGTGCTCGTCTGCCTTGGTTGGCAACAAGTCTGGGACAACTCTGAATTCACAACCGGTTAGATATGGGACTAGCAACATTATCCTATAAAAGCCTACTTTCTACACAACAGCAACCCCCATCATGTTGAGAGGTGAGGCTACCTTTCTCCTCAGTGAAGTCTATAGGACATGAGTGAGTGTTCGCAATATGAAGCCGTTGTCCTTGTCATCAAATACTAAATATGCCACAGTAAAATTTCCAGCCGATTGACACAAGCCCACATAACTGTTGCGGTGACATCTGCATAAGTCTTTTCAAGCCACCAACCTTCTTCCTTTTTTTCTTTCTTTTCTACTTTTTTTTTTTTTTTTGGACTCTGTTCTCTACCACCTCCAACGTCTGATCTGAGATACAATGCACTGTATTTCGCTACGCTTGAAGCCCAAACACTTCATTCGAGGCTAAATTATACATAAACACCTGCTCCTCCCATCTGCCTCGATCGCCGTTTCCTGTTTGATTAGAATCTGCATCTGAGCATTGAAGTGGGATTTGTTCAACAAGAATACTTTTAACTCGACACACACGCAATTGTCCTTCACTAGAGATTCACAAAGAAGGTTTAGATGCGCCATGTTGTATTTGTGATTATTATTATTATTATTATTATTATTATTATTATTATTATTATTATTATTATTATTATCTTTTTCGTTTTTAACCCGAGATCTTGGGTGTTCTCCATCAAGACGTACGACTTCAAACAGATAACACCTTCCCAGAATTTTTGCAGAGCCAAGCAACTCGGACTTCTGAAGCGATGAGATACTAGGCTTTATTCCGATTTTCTTAATGTAGGTCTTTAGGTTCGGTGGGATAAACACAACGCCCCACTGATGCCTGGGACGACAGTGGCATGAACGGCCCACATACTGAAATTATTATTATTATTATTATTATTATTATTATTATTTCCTTTGATCTCTGTTCATTTCCTTCCGGGTCCCAACCAGAGATCTAAAGTCAGAAATGACTTCATTACATTATAAAAAAAAAAACCTAAGATCACAGTCATTTTACGTAGATAAAGCTCTTCGTAATGTGTGAGTTGTACCAGGAATCCTTCAGTGAGTCTATCGGAACCTTTTCCAATCAATCCGAGTGC